AGATCAGGAGAAATACAACATAAGAGGTGCAAAACCATTATTATGGAGAAATGCTTTTAATTTTTTTTTTTGAAAGAGAACCTGAAAACTGAATTAGACCCTATAGTCAGGGCAAGACTTGCCTCCTTAGTAGCTGGGATTACAGATGTGAGCTGCTGCACCCAGCCTCTCTTTCTTACTGATTTGTGTGGTGTTTTTAAATGATAATTGCTAACATTTTTCCCAGCTTGTTAACTTCATTTAATGGTGTTTTGGCCACACAGAAGTGTTGGATCTTAACCTTTTCTTTTATTATTTCTGCCTTTGTTACCATGGTTAGGAAAGCCTTTCCTATGCCAAGAGTATGAATATATTGATCTTTATGCTCTTCTGGGTCTTTTATTGAACTGTGTTTCACATTCTACATTTGAGCCACCTGGACTTTTCCTTGGCATAGGAGTTCGGTAAACATTTAACTTCATGCCCTCCTCAGTAGCCAACCCTTTGTCATAACACCACTTGCTGGATCATCTTCCCTCCCCTAGTGTTTTGAAATTCCTATGAAGGTGTGGGGATAATTCTTCGACAAGTTTTTAAATCTACACTGCTGAAAGAATCTCCCCCTCAACTCTCACTGGCACCCTCCTTCCTGTTGAGCAATTGCCTTAAGATGCAGATGGTCAAGGAAGGCTGGGCCCTCCTTGGATCTGGGCAAATACTAACAAATGCTTATCTAGGGAGACTTGGACCTCATTTCCATCACATTAACACTAATCCTAACCACTCTTCTCTTTTCATTCATTGTGTCCACTTCCCTGCAAGCCTTTAAGGGAATTCTTGCAGATGTACGAGAGAATCATGATCATAGTCCGCCTTCATAGCCAACTTTTCCCACCAAAGCTTTATCAGGATCTGAAACTTGTCAAGATCCACAGCTGGTCTTGACCTCAACAAGATGCCTAGAACTAAGATGCCTAGAAAGGCATACAGTGCTGTTTATCAGCTGGGGAAAGGACTCTTAGCCCCGAGGGGGAACATGTGCAGCCTCCCCACACAGCTTTGGATAACAGGAAGCAGAGACAATCACCCCACACTTCCTCAGCTGGGCCTTTGCCCCATCCCTCCTGGACTTTGGAGAGTGTCTGTGGCTGCTCTGAAAGTAATGGAAAGAGGGAGTGATGATGGGGAGGCACGGCCCGGGAGCCCTGCAATGAATGGCATAGAGGCACTGTGCAAGAAAGGTGAACTCCAGGGTGGTTTGCACTGCGCACCCCTGATCTTGACTTCTGGCCTGGGTGCGAGGAAGGTGGTGTGCTTCTCTCTCTCACCAGACTGTCAGCACCTCCCAAGGAGCCCAGAAGGTGTCTTGCTCACATTCCTGTCCTCAACACTCAGCACAGCACCTGATGCTTAAAGTGGACTCCACGGTTACATGTTGGATGAAATTAAGAAGCGATGTATTATTAGTAATAACTACAATACAAAAGCATACTGTGTGAAATTCAATTTTTATGTATTACAGACGTGTAGCTCTGGGGTAGAGAAAAAGAACATAGATAGCAAGAGGCAATATTCCTTTCAGATCCTTCATTCAATAGGACAGACAAACCTACTGAGGGGGGCTCTGGAGGCGGCCCCCCCCCAGGGAAGAAGTGCAGTCCACCAGGTGGGAGACCTCCAGGGTCCTACAGGAGTGCATTCGCAGACGACCTAAGGCACTTTACAGAGTTTTATGCGCGGATGTTCAAAAGGCAGCCCGCCCCCTCCCTCCCGGGGCCAAGGACTTGACTGGGTGCTTGTGGCTCTTCAGAGAAGCCCGGGGAAACAGGACTCCTGCCCCAAGCGCTCAGTGATTTTTCTCAATACTTTGGCCCCCATCTCCACTTAAAATTTTAATTTGTTACCCCAGGAAGTGGTTTCTGTGGTCCCTGGGGTCCAAGCAGGGCTGTTTGGTCCCGCCTTCGCTTTCTCGGCAGTTTAAGACAAGAACTCGCCCTCCCGCCCCCGGCTCCGCTCGCTGCGGGTCCTACCAGCAAATGCAGGGCAATCGTGGAGCTCGGCGATCGCCCCATTATTCCTGGTGGCGACCTTAGCGAGTGGGCCGAGGTCTTCCTAATTCCTCGACTGAAGCGTTTGCTTCAGACCCCCGTTACAGAACGCTTCGTTCCGCCCAGTGACTAACACACCGCCCCTTCCACTTATCGCCGAGCCAGCGCCGAAGCTCGCGATCTGTTGCTCTGAACGGGTTCGTACGCCGTGCCGCAGGGCGCCGCAGACCAAGCTTCCCACAGTGCCCGGGGCGCGCGCGGGATCGTGGGAGTTGTGGTCCGGCTGCCGTGCGGCTCTGCTGCGGCTGCTGCGGGCTCGGCGCCGGCTTTGTCTGTGGGGTGTCTGTCTGCGGGCGCGCGCCGCTGCGGTGAGTGAGGCCGCGGCCGGGTTCGTGCGCCTGGGCCAGGCCGGGGCCGCGCCGTCCGGCCGCCGCCCTGGGCTCTCCGCGCGGCCGCCAGCAGGCCAGGCCGGCCAGCCGGAGGGGAGAGGTCGGCGGTCCGCAGAACAGGGCCAGCCGGACCGGAGAGTGGGACGCTGAGTCCAGGACGCGGGGCGGGCCGGAGGCCTGCGGCGGGAGGAGAGGGTCTGCGGCGAGGAGCGGGGCCCCTGGGAGGCCCCGACCCTGCGGACGTGGGAGGAGGGCGACAGGCAGGTGCAGCCCCGCCATGAGGGCTCCAAAAAGAGGCAGGAAGAAGGCGCCGGCGCCCTTGAAGGTGAGGAGACCCCCTTCTGGGTGGAGCACGGGACAGAGGACAGACTAGAGTCCAAAAATCACCCCTGATCCTGGAACTCTCCCAATATGTTCCCCAGACGGCATAGGTTACCCCCTCCTTCAGAGCACCTTAAATGTGTGAGCCAAGTTCGAGATCCCCTCAACGCTCCTGGCTTTTGGGTCTCCTGTCCCCCAGGAGCTACCTGATACGACAGGGTTGCCCTCTTTAGTGAGAAGCATCTGTTTGGTTACTGCCCAAGCCCGAGGCCATGCACTGGGAGAGCAGAGGCAAGAATCCAGGTCCCCCAGCGCCAATTCTGAGTTTTTTCCTAAGGACACAATAGCATTTCTGCTAGGAAAAGCAGTATTTTCTATTACAAAACCACTTTCTCCAAAATCTTTAAGAATTTGATTCCTCAGACTGATGATCATGGGAGAAGAATTAACGGTTTCTCCTTACTAGTCAAGGAGGTTCCAGAGACACAGCTGAGTTGTTACTTGTAGGAAACCTCACCACAGGTGGAGAGGGAGAGTCCACCCACTTGTCCTCACTAAACCTAGGTTTCTGGACTCCCCAGTGATGAGAGTCCAACTCCAGGCAGCTGGCACCTGCACATTTCCACTGACTCTGGATGTGCAGTTGGGGGTCATTAATTACTACCTCAAACTTCCACGTGGATGAGCTGGCACTGTGCCAAGATTCCTGTGTCGCTTTTGTTCCAGGTTTGAAGTGAGTCCCAGATAAACACAGCTTATAGCTGAATGTGCAGTGGTCAAGAAGGGCCAGGTATTTGGTTAATAAAACAGAATTGTAGTGTCCTACTGTTATTAAATCAGAGTCCAGCGTTTTGATAGGGTATATCAGAAGGACACAAAGATTATATTTCATACCACTGCCTAAATACAGTGTAAGAATTCAGTCATTGGGATCCTGAAGTAAAACGGTCTATTCCAAAGGGAAAAGTAGATGGTAACATGAAATCTCTTGTTAGGTCTTTATAACCTAGGGGGTGCTGCTGGAGCATGGAACCAACCATGAAGGATGAAATGTTGACTTTTTAGATTTTGAATTTCTTTGACTTAGAGAATGAAATAATAGGCAACCATTGGGTAGGAAGTTGAAGATCTGAATATCATGCCATGACCAAAGTATAAACAGGAGTGACCTGGAATTTGAGTGGAAGAAGTACTTGTTCATGTGTTGTCTGCTTTCCCATGCCTGTTTTCTCCTGGACTCATTTTTTTGTGTGGTCCTGCTATCTTTTGGCCCATTTTTCAGTGATATTATAGGTGGCTGATGTCACAGCAAGCAATCCAGATCTGTTTTCATTAACACCCACGTGGAGAGCAGAGTAGGAGAAGCCTATGAGGACATAAGATGCAGAGCCATTGCTTTTCCTAAGATGTTTATGTCAAATAATCTGTAGGCTGAGATTTGGCACAGCCCCGGGCACAGAAAAGAGTGAGAAGGCGAGATGCAGCTCAACTGCTTTTCCTAAGTTGTTTGCATTCAGAGAAGCAGGAACACAGGTTCCTCCTGTTACAATGTCCTGCCCCTCCCCAAGAATGGTTTCTCCACCTCCTTGTTTACCACTGCATGTGAAAGACTTGCTGAAGGAGGTTAGGATGGCTTTTGGATGATAGAAGGCTTTTGGATGAAGGGAAGTTTTTTGATGAGGGTTTTTTTTTTTTTTTTTTTTTGGCTGAAGGGAAATTACTTCAGGGAGGATTTCTGAAGGGAAAAGAATTGCTAAAGAGGGGTTGATAGAAAGTCTGCACCGACAACTTTATACATAGGCTTTAGAAAAGCTAAGCTAAAGAAAAGCTAAAGAGAACAACAGTGCAAGTCTGAGTACCGAGGCTTTAAGAAAGCTAAAGAGAGAACATGGGACAGTGCAAGTCTGAGGGCAAAGTCTTTAAGAGAGATTATGCTAAAGAACAGCTAAGAGAAAACATGAGACAGAGTGAGTCTAAGGAAAGAAGTTTTAAAGAATAGTGAAGCAAGGTTTTAAAGACTTTTAGAAGCAAGGCTTTAAAGAATTGTAAAGGAGTAAGGCCTTAAAAAAGAGAGAGAGGAGAAGCAGAGTAAAGAGAAGAGATTAATAGAGAAAAGAAGCAATAAGGCTGTTGTGCGTCTCCACCTGAGTGCCCAACGTACTTGGCCCCAACTTCCTTTCTGTCTGTCTACCCTGTGTCCTTCCTGAATCTCTGTCGCCCCCAGTTAGGCCCAGTTAGGTACAATAATAAACAGGAGCAAAAGAAAGCTCACTCCAACCCACAATGGAGCTCCTGTTGATTTTGTCTTTCTCACTTAGAAATTCTGGCCTTTTTTGTTTGTTTTTGTTTGTGTATTTTCTCCTCCTCAGGTGCTCAAGAACAGCCCATGGAAGAATCATACGAAGAGGTGGTATTGAGGTCATACAGCAGAAGTGGACATGTTTGGATTTCCAACAGCTACCCTGCTGGACTGTCATGGAAGATATGCCCAGAATGTAGCATTTTTCAGTGAGTGAGTCAGCTGGTTGCTGGATTGCCCTCAGCTCACAGACACTAAGGGTTTCTGTCCTCAGCACTGACCAGAGACTGAGGAAACAGATGTTCCTTTGGTGGACCTCACTGTTCCTCAGAATTACCAGAAAAAGCCTGCAAGCTGGAGTTACAGCTAGAGAACATTCTTGAAATGGAGGTAGTCTTTAGGTAGTCTCAGAGGGTGAATGGGTATCTTTAACACTCAGCATTATCATTGAATAAGGAAAGGGTAGGAGAACAAGAAGAAAACTTTCCTAGGGTGACGCCAAGAAAACTAATAGTGATGAATGAACCCATTTTAAAGGGTAGTAGGAGGCACAAATGTGCCTCCATGCAAAGTGTTTGAGAATAACTTCAATTCTGCAGTAGCTTAATAGACTGAAAATAACCAGGATTGATTGATTGAATATATCAGATTCTGTAATTGCCCTGGCTAGATTTGCATTATCAGAGAAGTCAGTTTAACTTCCTTTACCTCCAGGCTTTCCATACATAAAAAGGAACAATAAACTATCTTGTAGGATTGCAGGGATTTGAGATGATAGATATAAAATATCTAGGGTTCTGCTACACCTTTTCTGAGGTCACACAGCTTACTTGCACTGTCAAGAGAAGAGCAAGCTGTGGAACAGTAAATTTTTCATAAAGCCAGTGCATCGTAAGCCTCAGGACCCCTGACTTTCACTGGTCTCTTCACGACCCTTTGCTTGAATTTATGCTTTTTTTTTTTTTTAAAAGGTGGGGGAGTGCTTCTGAACTTTTAAAGCCATACATATCCTGGATCCACACCTGTTAGGAGTCAGATAAAACTTGGATATAAGGTTCTATATAATCCTGTATAGTTTTCTTAATTTTCTGATCCTATTTTCTTACCTATAAAATAGAGGTAATCATGCCTACCTCAAAATATTGTTTGGGAGATGCTAAGTTAAATTTAGAGGCAGTACCTAGCTATGGAACATACCAGTGTTTGACCTTTGGCAACCCCCTATGCTCTCATTTTCTTACCTGTAGCAATCTCAGTATTGTTTTCAAGATTCAGTTATGGTGTGCAAAGTTCATAGTATAATGCCTGGTACATAAGCACTCAAAAGATTATGTCTCTTTTTTCCCTGTTCTTACTCGGCATGTTGGTGCATTTTACGTGACTTCCCTGTCATTTTACCAGATGTGATGACAGAAGCCCACCACAAATATGATCACACTGAGGCCACAGGATCCTCAAGCTGGGACTTCCAGAATTCTTTCAGAAGAGAGAAACTGGAACAAAAATCTCCAGATTCTAAGACACTACAGGAAGACTCACCCGGAGTGAGACAGAAGGTCTATGAGTGCCAGGAATGTGGAAAGTCCTTCCGGCAAAAAGGCAGTCTAACATTGCATGAGAGAATCCACACTGGTCAGAAGCCATTTGAGTGCACCCACTGTGGAAAAAGCTTCAGGGCCAAAGGCAATCTTGTTACTCATCAACGAATACACACAGGAGAAAGCCCTATCAGTGCAAAGAGTGTGGGAAAAGCTTTAGTCAACGAGGCAGTCTGGCCGTCCATGAGAGACTCCACACTGGACAGAAACCTTATGAGTGTGCCATTTGCCAGCGAAGCTTCAGGAATCAAAGTAACCTTGCTGTTCACAGAAGAGTTCACAGTGGTGAGAAGCCCTATAGATGTGATCAGTGTGGAAAAGCCTTCAGTCAGAAAGGAAGCTTAATCGTTCACATCAGAGTTCACACAGGCCTGAAGCCCTATGCCTGTTCTCAGTGTAGGAAGAGTTTCCACACCAGGGGAAACTGTATTCTGCATGGCAAAGTCCACACAGGAGAGACACCCTATCTGTGTGGCCAGTGTGGAAAAAGCTTCACTCAGAGAGGAGTCTGGCTGTGCACCAGCGAAGCTGCTCACAACGGCTCACCCTTTGATCACTCTTCAAAGGAAGAGTTCTCTTTATGAATTACTGGTACAGAATCCTAGGTGATCAAGCAGCCTATTCAATTCTATGGAACGAATGGAGAATCTCCCAGAAAGACCAGCATTGGGTAGGGAAAACTGACTTTTATCCTTTCTCCCAAATGAGTATGAAAAATAAATGTCTTGTTTATATCATTATCATGTATTTTGATCTGATTTCCCAAGATACCCTTATTAAGATTATTCTGAGTGTACAGATACAGACTTTAAATTTGTATTTAACACCATCAGCCTTTTAAAGAAATGCGCCCCTTCTCTCAAGATCCTGTTCTTCCCTACATATTCAAATTAATCTTGTTTTGCTTTTAAGACCATTGGGCATCTAACTTTACCAAAGTTTGCAACCTGTACTTCACTAGAACAAGGATGTTTTAAATCACATAACCTGCACACAAACTGGAGCAAGACTGTTTTCAAAGGTGTTTATTTTTTCCCTCATTAGGTTATTAAAGCATTAGGGAAAAAACACCAAGATTCTGTGTAGGCTTTTTCTAAAGTTCAGTATTCTTTGTTCAGATTTTAGATTCTCAGAATAAATGTTTTTACTTAAAAAAAAAAAATGTCTGGGTGCTGGTGGCTCATGTCTATAATCCTAACCACTCAAGAGGCACCAGGCAAATAATTTGTGAGACCCTACCTGGAAAAACCCATTATGAAAAAGGCTGGTGGAGTAGACCTAGCAGAAGACTGAGGCCCTGAATTCAAAACCCAGTGCCACAAAAAAAAAAAAAAACCACTGGGCAGAATCCAAGGAGCAAATGTAATTGTTTTAACAATACTCTTATTGAAAGTTTCTTAATGAATCATTACCACCAATAAACTTCTCTCTGTTTTTGCCAAAAGTTGCTTACAAAAAAAGTTTCCTTTGCAAAGGTTTGGAGTTTGTACATGGAAATGTTCTTCAGTTCTCTACTCCTAAGAAGAATAATTTCCCTGTAGCCAAAGAACAGAGCAGACAACTACTATCTACAATTTTCTAAGAATCCTAAACTTATCATGCCTTCCATTAAAGGAACTCCTACTCCCTGAGAGACATAATGACCTTCACTCCTAGGGTGATTCCTAGATGAGACCTTAACTCTTACTATTAAAATTGCGGCAGTAGCAATATTATGGGGTTGGGATTACCTAGAAAGGAAATAAATGTCCTTATACTGAGCCTAGACTTGTAGTTTGTAGTCAAGAATGATGTTCTACTCCTGCAACAGTACTGTCCTACATACAGAAGGAAATTTGGAAGGATTGCTAAACTCCAAGAGATGAGATTTGAAGAAAGTTGGAGTGAAGAAGTTAGTTTTATGAGGAAATTGAAAATTACAATTTTTTAATCTTAGCCATCTCTATAACTTTTCATGCTGAGCATTAATATAAGTAAAATGGATGGTATACAGTGTAGTTTTCTTTGTTAAGATACCATTCCATTTTTATAGATTTGTAGACTATAGGCTTTTTAATCCCAAAAAGTTCACCATAGCAAATCTCTTATCTAAAAGTAAATGATACCAAAGGTCTTAGGATATTCAAATGCTATGGATTCAATTAGTAAGAAATAGTACTCCCAAATATACTTTGATAACATCTGAACATGTATACAAGAATGTTCCTAACATCCTTGCTCATAATAGCCACACTCTGGAAATAAATATCCAACAAGTGAAGGATAAAAAAAATGGTGGAATGTTCATACAGTGAAATAACAGTGGTAAAATACTGCTGTGGGCAGCATTACAGCTAGATCTGAAAGTCTTAGATCAAGTGAAAGAACTTAAACACACATATATTGTGCATAATTCCATTTAATTTCTTCACAGAACAGGAAGAACCAAAAATTGACTTCAAAGGGACACAAGAGAACTTTGTAGGATGAAAACATGTCCTATACCTATAGGTGATAAATATGAGTGTGCAGTCATTAAAATTCATTAAACTCAGCAGTTAAAATCTGAGTGCTTTGTTGTGCAAAATATACTTTAATGGCAATCAGTTTAAAAATAATGCCCACAAGTTGTTTGGCACTGATCCATGGGGATGGGGGCAGTCTATGTCATCTCCCCTTAGGCTTGTGACTGATTCAAACAATAGAAACAATAGGAGGGATGCTACATGACTTCCAAGGCTAGGTCTAAAGTTTGTTAGTCTCTTGGGACAGCTGCTGTAGGAGAAATCAGCCACCATATAAAAAGTCCAACAATCCTGAAATCACTGTAATGCACAAGCTATGTAAAAGAGCTCTAGTCAGCAGATTCAGCTGAGCTCCCTACAGACAGCAGCATCAACTCTCAGCCACTTGAGAAAGTCACTGCAGACGTCCAGCCCAGAGAACCTTCAGGTGCCTACATCTGACCACCAAAGACCAGAGTGTCAGCCAAGCTCTGTTCAAATCTGGACTCTCCACTGGAGTTGATCAGCTCCTAAACCCATACAGGTGGTGGCAGGATGAATTTCCTCGTGGTTGTAGGGTTGAGTGTCCCATCTTACTGTTGACTGAGGTGTGTCCTAGGGGCCACCTGAGGTTCTCTGCTACCACAAAGCAGTTTGCTTTTTTAAGTTCAAAAGAAGAGAATCTATCTTTGTAGTTTGCTAAAAGCACAGTCTTACACAACACAGCTTAATCATAACAGTAACATTCCGGGACAATGAAAAGAGCAGGAAGAAAATCTTAAGCAGCATGGAGCCTGACATCCACTACCCATTACATGGGCATCAGAGAGGGCACACCCTCTTTCCAAGCCAAATTCCTGATTGCTGGACTTTCCATTCAAGATACAAGGCCACAGTACACTAGAAAAGTCAGCATGAACATAAATATGTGATTTCTGGCCTAATTTTGCCTTCAGGACATTGGGAGGTCAGCCATACTTACAAAATATGCGTCACTGGAGCACGCTTTCATCTTCCCACATAGTGGATACAAGTCTCTCCCAAAATCCTCCCTGTGCCTTCCACCAAGATACAGTAACCACAGCCTCTGTGACCCTGCCCCTGCTGTGTTACTCACCTCATTTGCATTCACACTCATTATGACGCTGTTGCTATGGGGCAGGGACTCAGAATGAATTGTGTGTAGTCCACCTATTACCAGGACTTTCATTTCTGCAGTGCTGGATCCCACTTCATGTCTAGGGAGCCTCCTTCCTTTGGTTGGCGGCACACACCTGTACTCACAGCACTTGGGAGGCTGAGGCAGGAGGATCTCAAGTTCACGACCAGTCTAGGCCACATAGCAAGATGCTGCCTCAAAAAAAAAGAAAAAATGCAAATCATTCCACAATTCTGCTTCCTTTCCGATTTGTATCTTGCTGTGATTTAAATGTATCCTCCAAAGTCCATGAATCAGAAACTTAATCTTTGTATGTTGAAGGAATTTGGAAGTAAGTCCTTTGGACTGAAATTAGGGGTAGATGAAGAAACCATGAGGGTGGGGCGCTCCTGATGGGATTAGTGGTTTTAGAAGAGAAGCCTGAGCAAACACATGTACACTCGCCCTGTGAAACCTCCACACATCATGACACACCAGGAAGCCCTCCAACACATGACAGCACCTTGATCTCAAACTTCTGAGCCCCCAGAACTGTACAGTTCTTTTCTTTGTAAATTACCTAGTCTGTGATTTTTCTATTAAAGCCACTTGCCTCCCATGATCATAGTTTTAATTTTTTTTTTTGAGATGTGACAGACTAGGACATTTTTTCTCTATTGTGGTCATGCTGAGTGATTTGTTTCTTTTATGTTTTCAGGTAGCTAAACTGACTAGTGTGCCTTCCTCCCAGTTTGCTACTGTGACCAACACTTTGCATTCAACACATGCCACAGATGTAGCAGGATGTGTTTCACTGATATCCATAACCATTCAGGATCTTTTCTTGGGGTTTTGCCTCTGTGAACACTTCATATGATTCTGACTGCAACCTATTTGAGCCTATCTCTTGCTTCAAGACAATATGCTATCCCTGCTCTTTTTTTTTTCTTTTTTTGAGGTCAAATTAAGGCAGGCTAGACATTAGGAAAAGTTTGGGACTTAAAAACGAAACACCCTAATTTAGAGCACCCCCCATCAGTCCCCTCTGAGCCAGAGAGCGCCATTTCAATTGTAAATCCTTTGTTAAATTAGAGTGGAAATTTCCTCCCACCTAGACCTACATACCTGACCGTTAGCATAGGTGTATGTATGCATGAGTCCGCCTGATCCTACCCCTGGCCCAAAGGCCACTGGAGACAGGGAGTGACTCTGTCTCCCCCCCACCTCCAAGTTAAGTACGATATAAAAATGACCTAAAATTAAACACCCCCCCCTTTTTTTTCTTGCATACAGACCTCCATTCCACCTGGCAGAGATCCCATCTGTAATCTCCTTCCCTTTCCAATAATTAAACTCTTGTTATTTCCCTCACTACGTCCATGTGTTCTGCTTGGATTCTTCCTCATCAGAGTGCAACGACCAAATCTTCTGATTAGAATCATCAGTGACCTCAACAAAATCATTTTATTGAGCAGCTTGGAGGCTGGGAGGGGTAGAAAAAGCACTGAAGAAGACAATGAAGCCGGCACCAGTGGCTCATGCCTATAATCCTAGCTACTCAGAGGCAGAGATGAGACAAATAGGTCATGAGACCCTATCTTGGAAATATCCAAAAAAGAGTACTGTGAGGCCCGGAGTTCAATCCCCAGTACCGCCAAAAAAAACATAGGGCAATGCTGTCTGATGTCCTTGGCAGGGGAAGATATCAACTTCCTGGCCTCTTTGTCTCTTTGCCTCTGCCTCTTAACTCCAAGTTCCTGTCATAATGCCACTATACATATCACTCCTGTTTGAGGCAATCATCCACTACCTCCTGGGTCATTCCTTGAAGGTTTTAGGTCCTATTTCACTATCACTCTCTTCAGCTCTACTCTCATGGTGCTGGAATTAAAGACCCTCCAATGCCGAAAACAGACACACGAGGGACAGAGAAAATCTTGGCAAGGCAATTTCTTCTGATCAAAAGGGTGCAAGCATGTGCTCGCTCCAGCTGAGTGGACATGCAAACACAAAAGGGCTGACAGTAGCTTCTCCTTATATCCCCAAAGCGGTTGTACTGCCCCTTACCTGGGATTTGTCCAGGTCAAGGTTCACAGTCTTTCTTGAT